ATTCAATTCAATTCAATTCAATTCAATTCAATTCAATTCAATTCAATTCAATTCAATTCAATTCAATTCAATTCAATTCAATGCATAAAAAAACATGTAGGTGCGTACGTATGCACACATTGGCATGTACTTCTTTCCCTCTTTCTAACACAATAACATTTTTTCAGCCCTTACTCAACAGTATGTACTAGAATGGCATATCAGATATGTATAACTGTATAAGTGAAATCGAAGATACCAAAAAAGTTAATATAATCGACGAAAATATATCTACTGATAACGATAATGCTTCAATGATCGTTAATAATTAGAGATCGTTGTGAAACGCCATTCTTTCATAAATCATAAACTAATAGTTGATAAGGTTTCTGAAAAAAATATTGTACATAAATACCTCTCGTAATTGTAAACCTTCTTTCTCATCCCGGTACAAGTTACAATGAAAAAAATCTTTGCCTGTTAGGAGATAACGATAACTTAATCTAGTTAAGCTTTAATTGGCGTCAGAATGCGTGTATATTTATAACTTGATCATGTAGTTATAGGCCTGGGCCCGCTTCCATTATTTGTTGCTTCATTAAGATTAAATTGGAAATTCATGGATCTCGAAAAAACGAAACATCAAGTACATACACATCGTATGTATTTATCTGTGATGTACGTTTTTGTTCATTTTTATTTTCCTTCGTAACTTTATATATCAAGAACTTGATTAAAGGCAATTTTTATTTCTCTTTGAAATGTTCTGATGTGCTCGCTGTCTAGAGTAGTGTCTAGCGTAGTGTCTAGAGTAGTGTCTAGAGTAGTAATGCATTAAATTTATTTTCTGAATTCATGTGGGTGATTATTAATCATATTAATCATTAGCGTTAATCATAAATCAATTAATCATAATTAAGACTTGCAACAAGCATCGATATTTTCATCATTATTAATTTTGTGCTGTTGAATAATTAATTTTATTTGTCAATATTTATTTCCATCCATCAACTTGTAAAAATATTTCAAAAGTAACACGATTCTTACCTACAAATTTAACCCTTCACAACTGTAATGGCTTGATTAATTTCTTCAATTTCTTCTTCGCTTAATGTATCCGTTCCTTCATCTTCTTCCCCGCACTTTATCATTTCCTTATTTTTCTTATTTTGATTATCATAATCACTTCTTGTATCTTCCAAATCTGTCAAGTTCTTGGCTTGATCTTTATCCTGTTCCGTATTTTGCCACTTTTTTTCCGCCAATAATCTATTCAATATAATTGAACTGATCATGTCTAAAACGAATCCGACGATGAAAGATGTGATAACTACAATAAAAATCATTTCCAAATTCATTTTTTTTTTTCCAATATTTGAACTTTAAGGTGGTTGTTAAGAAATGATGTAATCAGTTTCGCTAAATTTTTAAGTAATTAAATTTAATAAAGACGTCATAAATTTCTTACGTACGTACATACCCATTTTATCATAACCTCATAACAATAACACTGTTATTTTTGGTTACTGTATTGTTAACCTAATTTAATCTTTTATCGTATTAATAATCAGTAAAGCACCGTGATATGTTCATTATTTAAATTGTATTATAATACAAACTCTCCTATTATTAAAAATAAAACCATTTGTACTCTACCTAGAAAAGTGTTATATTTAAGCAATTAGTAATTATCGTTATTATTTGACATCTAATTTGTAGTTAAATACTGTACAAAATAACGCCTCGGAACATTATTTCGTGTCAAACAATTTACCAGTTAAAAAAAGCTAAGAATTGATTTTGCCTAAAATTTCTAAAAAATAAATTATTGTTCGCATTCAGCTAAAGTAATTTCCGGCTCTCCTTAAATTGTCTTAAAATAACTCTCGTGCATTATTTCGTGCATTATAAAAAAATATTGAGCTCGTAAATCAAAATCAAAGACTCAAATAGTGTTTGAAACATATTATTCAATATAACAAATGATTATTATTTCAAAAGGTTTAACCTACTGTAATATTCTAATACTTTTTAACCATTCAAAATTATATAATTGCAAAATAAATATTAATTGTTATAAAAATATAATTAATAATTATGTATTGTAATTAAAATTTTACTGGTCTAGTCAATATTTACGCATATTTTAAATAGTTATTTAAAATAATAAATTATATATAGTTTAAAATTTTGTATAATTTAAATAATCTTTGCGACAATCATATGCAAGTTAAAACAAGCTAATAATTAATTTTAAATAACTATATATATATTACTTTTATTTATTTTTATTTATTTGTCACTACAGTCAACCCCCTCTATAGTCACCTCCTCTATAGTGACAAAATTAATACAGTAATTACAAATTTATTTTTATCAATTATTTACAATTATATAGACAATACCTCTATATTAATTACGCTTCTTTATAATCACAGTTTTTATATCCCAAAGGTGTGACTATAGAGGGGTTTGGCTGTATACAAAATTAGACTATTCTGATATTTAATTCTTAAGTAAATTCTTTTATTTATTTTTTTAATGCTAAAGTATGTTCAAAATTAACCTATTTAATTAATTTTTTTTTATTTCAAATTTTTAATTTTTAAGAATTTGAGTTTTAGAATTACTACAGTAAATAGATATTAATAATTCTCCATACTATATCTAAGATTTATCTATAAATTTTCTATTTAAATCCTCTAATTTGAGTTCTTTATACCAATCTAATCTAATTTTGCTAGGATATAAAATATATATTACAAATTTTAATTTATAAATTATTTTTGATATTATAAGTAAAAAATTTTTTACTAAATTTTATTCTAAAATTTGTTATTTTTATTATAACTTAAATAAAGAATTTTTTAAAACAAAAATGAAATTTTATAGTATTATATTATTGCAAAATAATACAGTGTTATTTTAAAATAAGAAAAAATGTGCTTGTTACTAGTGGTGACAATCTCCTATGTAATGTAACAATCAAAACAAATGTAAATATAAATAAATTTATTGTTATTAGGATTAGAGTATAAACATGTTTAGAATAAGGAAAGGTTATAATATATAGTAAAATTTCACAAGGAATTTTTTTTGTTAGTGAACAAAAGGTAGTTTCTTAGATATAATTGTTAGTTATTGTAAAATTTTGACAAACAGCATTTTTTGCTTCGTTTGCACGTTATATAATCAGATGTAATGTTATACCTGATCTTGCATTCTTATTGGTGCGAGACTATTATCGCTGGTAACAAATAAATTCACTCTTAAAATAAAATTTTAAAATAAATCATTAATTAATTTTGCTAAAATTTTTTTTAAACTTTACTATTAAATAAATATTAAGTTTAAAAAAATTTTTAGCAAAATTAATTATCAACTTGTTTTAAAATTTTTATTTCAAAATAATATCTTAATAAATATAAAACATATTAT